AGAAAAAGGCTAACATGGGTCATTTTTTATGTGGAGGGGGTTACCTATAGCTTCTCTGTGAGGTCCTGATGAAGTAGAACAAAATACCATTTTCCTGGCTTCCTGAGCTGGGTCAAGTACAGCAGAACTTCTTTACACCCAAACCTTCAATGGGTCTGGCTTGTCCATTCTGATGTTTTGAGAAGCTAGAGCTTGTAGAAGCCCCTGGTGCAGTGCTGAGGTGTTTGTTACATATATAAAGGTGGCAGGGGAGAACTCTCTTGGCCTTAGCCTACTCCAGTCTGCTTGTTTGATCCAAACTCACACGTTGGTTGTTGCTGAAAACTTGGGCTACTCAAATTTCAGAATTTTTGCTATGCAGATGACCCAGTGGTATATTGGTGAAGGTTAAGCTCTTATAGATAAGTGATTTTCAATGTCTTCCATTGAGAATAAATGCCATAGCAAGATAGCACTACTTATAGAGTGTGTCCTATAGTTTATGTTTTTTTGGGGTGGAAAAGGTTGAGAGTCACTATGTGGAGTACAGAAGGTGGTTTGCAGCTTCCTTCTCCCTGTAGAATCTGGACTGTAACTGATCCCAAAATTCCTTCCTCTAAAACAAGCATGTCAAACTCTGGGGGCTGCATGTTTGACATGCTTGCTCTAGAATATGAAAGGTGACTTCTTCCAGGGGAACTTATATGGAGAACTTCCATGGAGGTGGACTACAAGAGTTTATCCTACAGACTTTGATGTCCCTAAGCCCATGGTCGGCAAACTGCGGCTCACGAGCCACATGCAGCTCTTTGGCCCCTTTAGTGTGGCTCTTCCACAAAATACCACAGCCTGGGCGAATCTATTTTGAAGAAGTGGTGTTAGAAGAAGTTTAAATTTAAAAAATTTGGCTCTCAAAACAAATTTCAATCGTGGTACTGTTGATATTTGGCTCTGTTGACGAATGAGTTTGCCAACCACTTCCCTAGGCTCTTTGTCAGAGCCCAGTAGATCCAAAGACTCTTTCTGGGAGGGGCATTGTGTAAAAAGGGAGCACAATGGTGGCGGAAATGGGGTAATTCTCTTCTCGATGCCTGAACTGGAACTGCCTGTGAACAAGAAATTTATCGCAGTGAAGCAATGGGACTAATGCACCAAGTGGACTAAGAGGCATCATTAGGATGTCTTTGGTATTTGATGGACAACAAGAAGGTGCTTTCATTCCAGGATTTTATAATACTCTCGCACTAAAATGACCTTATTCTACTTCATTGATGTCGGCTGAAATGGAATGGGAGTAGATGCAGAAAGTTCTGGGACTCTTGTGCCCCTGGGAAAACAACAAGAGTCCTGGATGAAGGTCTGTACCTTAAACCCGAACTCCTGTGCATGAGCGGAATGGGCAAGGACAGATGCCATGTAAGATAAATTTGTTTTGTGCTTTAAAGTACACTAAAAGACTTTCTATTCTACTGTTTTGCTCCTATAACAGTCCTTAGGGTAAGCAAGGCAGGCTTTATTGTCAACACTTTGCAGAGCGGTAAACTAAGTCTCAAAAGGGACTTAGCCAGAACCAGATGATTAGCAAAGAGCTAAGCCAAGAATTACACCTGGGAGTTTTGGTTTCAAGTTCAAGCCTCTTGGGTTTTGCAGCCTGAGCCATGGGACTCCTCTGAAATTGGTTGCCCGCTTTAATAGGGTCACATAAGAAAAGTCTAGTGCCAGTAGGAACTTGAGGACATGGAGAACTGCTAGACTAAGGTGGCCAGACATCCCGACTTTTAACAATTTGTCCTGTGTCCCGCGGCGTTTTAAAAAAGTCCCAATTTTTGGAAAGAATGCATGACAAGCTAGGGAATGGTGGGAGAACGGGAAGGGAATATTTAGCCAGGTTATGAGTTTTATATTATTTTTGTTATTTTTATAATGTTAAACTTTAATAGTAACAAATAATTGTTGAGAACTGATTATTGAGAACTGCTTTATCAAAGTTCGAATTGTTGATCAGTTGTTAGAATTCGACCACCATTGTTTGGACTTAATGAACAATGGCATTTTTTGGAATTGGCAATGACGAAAACATTTTGTAACTGTTTCTCAGATGATACACATCATACTGCGTACTAGTAAGCTGGTTAAACAAGTGATGTCATTACAAATCAGCTATTCAGATAATTTAGGTAAGTAATTTATTTATTTATATCATAAATACATACATTTTCTTGAATTTAGCAGACAGTACTCATATTATTTATATTTTATAGTGGCGGCAAAAAGTCTAGTGCTGGCCTTTAAAGTGACACGACTATACATAATTTTTATTTATTTATTATATTTGTAAATTGTACTTATGTTGAAATTTTTAAACATATATTACAATATTGTTTTTGTGTTCTATGACAATTTCTGTTGCTCCATATAGACCAAATTTTTAATCAAGAACGCACACACAGCCGAAACTGGTTTGGCTCAGTGGATAGAGCATCAGCCTGCAGACTGAAAGGTCCCAGGTTAGATTCCTGTCAGGGGCATGTACCTGGGTTGCGGGCACATCCCCAGTAGGAGGTGTGCTGGAGGCAGCTGATCAATGATTCTCTCTCATCGATGTTTCTCTATCCCTCTCCTTTCCTGTAAAAGATCAATAAAAAAATTAAATAAAAAAAAGAACACACACACACACACACACACACAGACACCCCAGTCAACGGTGTCCCACTTTACCAATGTTAAAATCTGGTCCTTATGCTAGACACGAAATCATTAGGAGATCCCACTTGACTACAAGATCAGCAACTTATTGAGTAAGACTAACTATGTTAGAAATAAAGAGCATTTTGGGAGGAAATTTCTCAAGCTGTTGCATAGCCTGTGCTCTCAGGGGCATTAGAGATTGATCCATACACATGGGGAGTGCTCAAGACTGAGAAGCAAAAAGCACTGTTGTTCAGGTAGATGACCATAAATAAAAGCAGGCCAGCTCCGGCCATAAGCTCTCAGGAGGATGGGGTCTGTCATATGATGAGTCCATCCAAAGCCCTGCTGATCAAAGACTGTCCTCAGAATGTAGAATAACTGCAAAGAAATCAGAAACCATCTCCTGTTCCTCTCCCCACCACTGTGAACTATACTGCTAGCTTCCTCACCCTGTTCATCACCCCTGTCCCAATGTTCAGTTTTGCGAGCCAGGAATCCTTTTGCAATTGTTTGAAAGCTTGTGGGTTAGAAGCACAAAATCAGCTGATTTTACCCAAAATAGTCAATCCTGGCACCATTCCTTATTTTTTGTCTTCCCATAGAAAATGAGCACCTTGGGATATGTCCCACCAGCCAATAAAACAGAAGAGATGGAACTCCATATTGGAGGGCTCAAAGAGAGGCCTTAGCTTCAGCCCAGACAGCGAGTCAGTTCCCTTAACAGTGTCAGGGCAGAAGCAAAAGATCCATATAGCAGACCCCGTGGCAGGACAGCTGCTGCTTATTCAACCCTGCTTCAGATGTTGGGGTGCATTTATTGGTCAAGGAGCTGGGTTGTCTAGAGTCAGGATCTCTTTATGGGGACACTCAAGACTGGTGACTTCCACCAGACTGATGTTTCCCTGAGTGTGAAACTGGGGGCTTCGGGCCAGTGCAGCTATAGACTGAGAAGCAAAAAGCAACATTGCTCTCTCATCCAGATGGAGAGCCAGGAATTGGGGAAAGGGTAGCCCTGATTCCAGCTATCAAGGAGGAGGGAACTATTTGCACCCGTGGGGCCAGCCCCATTCTGGGCCACAGCACATTCCTGTATATGAGCCAGGGCAGAGGATCAGAGGCCACATGTGGGCCTGGGCAGAGGTGTGCTTGAGGGCCCATGCCAGGGTTTAACTTCAGACACCTGAGATTGGAAGGAAAGCAGTTCAGCCCTGATCTCTCTCATATTTCCGTTCTGTGCTCACACACAGTTCCAGGCCCAGTAGAAGCAGAGCTGTAGATAAGGTTGTCAGCTGAGCTGGGCTCAGAAATCACCCTGGCCTCTCCTATCCATCCTCCCAATCAGGGCTTAACCTTTCCCCAGGCTGAGCCCCACCTCCTTAAGGAGCCTCTTTCTATCGGTATAGCGCTCTCCAAGCCACAAACACAGCTGAGAAACGAGAACTTTCTATCCAGACCTCAGAGAAAAGGATACAACCTGAAACTCTGCAGACCTTCTCCCTTCCTTGTCCATGAGCAGCCAGAGACCCTGTCACTTAGGTATCTGCACACTGAGGAGGAAATTTCTCAAGCTGTTATATAGTATGTTTCCCAAACTGCCACTATCCTTTCCCTCCAGCTATGGGATGAAGTGAGGGATAGGAGCTTCCCCTCTGCATCCCACCAGGGGACAGCTCAAGGTCAGACAGTAAAACATCCCCAGACACTATTGGCTGAGCCTGTTAGGGAGGCAGCACTTTTCAGTCTCTTTTCCCTGGCCGTGGTCCTCCCCACTCCACCCCTTCTCTCCAGCACTCTGTGTCAGCCCTTTTAGGAGCTTTTAGTGGAAATGAGCTCAGACCCACAATGGAGTCTGCTAGCCTCCTGCTCTCCCAGCTCTTCCCATTGCTCTCTCATCACCTCGTCTGTCTCACAGGGCTCAGGACCATCCCTCCATCCAGCCCCATCTGCAAGCAGCTCTCCTCTCAGCGCTCACCTCTTTCACCCCTCCTTCCTTCCACCCGAGTCTTTACATCTTCATTTTCCCTTTTCTAAAAAAAAAAAGCGTTCGTCAACCCCCCACCTCACAGGTCCCTTCCACCCCTTTCTCCTTCTCCCCTGAGACCGGCAGCAGAAGGGAGAGAAAGAGAGCCCCTGACAGGATTGATGGCCCTCCCCACTCCCCTCTGTTCCCTCCCCCAGCGGCCACAGATTTTCCCCTACAAAAGGCAGGAGGCAGATGTTGGGTGAGACCAGCTGCTCTCAGACTCCCTTTGCTCTCTGCTGGCCTGGCTGGGCTGAGCCTTTGCTCCCTCTTTCTCAGGTGACAGTGTCAGGTCCCCACCTCATTCCCCATGAATGCTGTGCAAAGTCCTGAGGGGCAGGAGCTGCAAAACCTGGGGAGCGAAGCCTGGGACAACCCTGCCTATAGTGGTCCCCTCTCGCCACATGGGACGCTGAGGATCTGTACCATCTCCAGTGCGGTAACCCCCCAGCCCCAGGCCAGGAAACCTGAAGACAGACCCCAGGAGAAGGCACCCAGGACCCTGGTGTCCACCTGCTGCCTTCAGATTTGTCAGGGCATCAGAGGTAGCTGGTGGGGGAGGGTTTTCCTAGGATACTGGAGTCAAGGGAAGGAAGGGGTCACCCAAAACTTTTTTGTTGGGGGGAAGTGGTCTGAAGAAGAGGTGGACTCTCATTTCTCTTGGAGGTTTGTGAATTGTCTGTGTTAGAGTTGCATGCCCTGGAACACAGGAGCAGCCCAGGCTCCCCAGAGTGAAGCCTGGCACAGTCACCACCTGGGGGTCCAGGAAGGCACGTGGGAGCTAGTTTAAGGAAAGACATGGATTTGATGATGCTCTAGACCAATGGTTCTCAACCTTCCTAAAATTGCGACCCACAGGTTGAGAACCGCTAGCGGGGTCGCCTAAGACCATCGGAAAACACAGATATTTACATTATGACTCATAACAGTAGCAAAATTACAGTTATGAAGTAGCAACGAAAATAATTTTATGGTTGGGGCTCACCACATCATGAGCAACTATATTAAAGGGTCGCGGCATTAGGAAGGTTGAGAACCACTGCTCTAGGTTGTCCCACCTGGACCAAGTGCCTTCTTTCCATGCCTTCATTTAGGGACTTGGATGGAGGAGAACAGGCATGGTTAGAGTAGCTAGATTCCGCCAAGGGATAAGATGATGAGGGAGGAAAGGGGCTGGGATGGAAATGGGAGTGAAATACAGGAATTGATGAGTGGGGATAACTGGGAGGGACCCTGCTGTTGGGGACCCTGGGCATCTCTCCAATGCCTCTTAGGACTTTGGGGGACAACCCTGACTGAGAACACAGCTGAGAACCGGGAACTTTATGTCAAGACCACCCTGCGGGAGCTTTTGGTGTACATCGTGTTCCTGGTGGACATCTGTCTCTGTGAGTAACACCTGCCTCTGTGTACAATAACATCCATCTGTGAGAAGCAACTCTGTGTACAGTGTCTGTGTGCGTACTTCTGCAGGCAACATCCTGGGGACAGCTTCTATCCGTGTGAGCAGGCTGGGTCCTGGGATCTTGATATTAATAACAAAATTCTATTTATGAGCTTTTCAGCTGAAGATATTATGTTTAAAAAGAACTCGTTTGCTGAGTTTGGGAAAAGACCACTCCTTTCTGTCTGGAAAACATACTTTGGTGGTTTTCACATAGTTATTATACTATGTCTGTTTCATGTTTCTTTAGGGCAGTTGTTCTCAACCTTCCTAATGCTACGGCCCTTTAATACACTTCATGTTGTGGTGACCCCCAACCATAAAATTATTTTCATTGCTACTTCATAACTGTAATTTTGCTACTGGTATGAATTGTAATGTGAACAGCAGTGTTTTCTGATGCTCTTAGACTCTACAGTAGCGGTTCTCAACCTGTGAGTTGCCTAAGACCATCGGAAAACACAGATATTCACATTATGATTCGTAACAGTAACAAAATTACAGTTATGAAGTAGTAACGAAAATAATTTTATGGTTGTTGGTCACCTCAACCTGAGGAACTGAATTAAAGGGTCCTGGCATTAGGAAGGTTGAGAACCACTGCTTTAGAGGAAGGAAAAAAAAGATTCAGCAGGTCTTAGAGTTCAGACCCTTGAAAAAAAAAAAAGGGGGGGGGGAGAGGTTAGAGATGCAAATAGTGTGGTGATGGTCGATGCAGTTTAGGTTCTTCCATACAAGAGACGACCAGGCCACAGGGAGATGCGAAGTTCTAGCTATAGGCTCAGACTGGGGAGATTTGGTTGGGAGAGAAGCAAGTGAAAAGATAAAGTGGTGAATCACCAAAGGATAGAAGCAAAGAGATGTAAATAATAATGAAGTTGGACCCAACAGATTCTGTAAAGCCTGTAGATAAGGGTGCTTTGTACTCAGGTAATTACTTCTTTAAAAACTTGCACAACAAGGGAGGTTTGGCTAATCACAGAAGTGTGTGTGTGTGTGTGTGTGTGTGTGTGTGTGTGTGTGTGTGTGTGTAAAGCTGCTCCTTGGATTATACAACTAAGTAACTCCATCAATAGGTACCTCATGCCCCACAGGAGACTCTGGTTTTTGTTGTTGTTTTTAGGACACATGACTCTTTTGAAAGTGGAATCTGAAGGTCTGATATCAGTGTTGCTGGAAATGTTGTTATCTTTGTGAGCCACCCACATTTGTGCGAGCCCTCCAGAAAGCTAAGCACTAGCATCTACCTGTAATTTGGGACTCACTCCAAGGGGACAGATGGGGCAATTCTGAGTATTTACCATGGACCCTCAACACGGACTGAAAAGAGACAGTGCATGTGGGGAACAACGGTCAACCCCACAGTGTGCATTTTGTGGGGCTCATTTGGTTGCTTTCAGCAAACAACTGCCAGAAACTCGTCTGTTGACATACTGATCTTTGTTTTCACCATCTGCTAGGAAGGAGTGTGTTCCTCTTCTTTTTCAGATCCCATGACAGCAGCTGAAACCCACAGGCAGAGCCTTTCTCTATAGTAAATGATTTGGATGTCTGCTTTTTCCTATCTAATAAAAGAGTAATATGCAAATTAACCATCACCCCCAACCCATAAGATGGCTGCCCCCATGTGGTCAAAGAAGGCCACACAGTCAGTAAGTGGCAGAAGCAGGAATCCAATTTAGTGTCCGTTGGCCTGACTCCAATTCTGGGGTTGTTATCTGCTAGAGTCTACTACAGTCTCTCTGAAGATGTGTCACACGTTAGTCTCAACAACCCATCAACATCTTAGCAAGAACAGCTCCCTGCCCTACCATAACACTAGCAGAATCTTTTTTAAAAATACATATTTTATTGATTTTTTTACAGACAGGAAGGGAGAGAGGTAGAGAGCTAGAAACATCGATGAGAGAGAAACATTGACCAGCTGCCTCTTGCACACCCCCCACTGGAGATGTGCCCACAACCAATGTACATGCCCTTGACCAGAATCGAACTGATGCTCTATCCACTGAGCCAAACCAGTTTCGGCAATAAGCAAACTCTTGATAGAATTATGACTGCTTTCCTTTCTTTGTGTTGCGGTAATTAAAAATTGATATAGCCTGGCCAGTGTAGCTCAGTGGGTGGAAGTCACAGTTTGATTTCCTGTCAGGGCACCTACCTAGGTTTTGGGTTCAATTCCCAGTGTGTGGCATGCAGGAGGCAGCTGATCAATTATTCTCTCTCATTATTGATGTTTCTGTTTCTCTCTCCCTTTTCCTTCCTCTCTGAAATCAATAAAAATATATAAAAAGCTGACATAAACATTTAGAAAAATCCGAAACCGGTTTGGCTCAGTGGTAGAGTGTTGATCTGAATCCCAGGTTCTATTCCAGCCAAGGGCATGTACATTGGTTGTGGGCACATCCCAGGTGGGGGGTGTGCAAGAGGCAGCTGGTCGATGTTTCTCTCTCATTGACGTTTCTAGCTCTCTATCTCTTTCCCTTCCTCTCTGTAAAAAATCAATAAAATATATTTTAAAAAATCTTAAAATACAATTTACCTATAATTCACCACAACACCAACGATATTTTCACATTACCAGTCCTTATCCATATAGTTACACATTTTACCTAGTTGTATCATATTTTACACTTTCACTTACATTTGTATCATAAACATTTCCTCATGTTTGTAAGTAGTTTTTATATTTTCATTTTAATGGTTACAGTCATTCCACAGTTAACTAAAGCATTTCTCTTGTTATTTCAATATTTGCCTATTATAGGTAAATATATCTATCCTTGTGGCTTTTTTTTTTTTCACTTTTGTTGAATTATTTCCTTGGGAATTTCCAGGGAGAGATATTATTAGGCCAAAAGACAGGAGTATCTTCTCAGTGCTTTCTATGTGTTGTCATTCTGCCTCTGTAAGGGATCATACACATTTATTATGCTGCTAGCACCAATTATTATGTGACAAGCTCACTGACATTGGATACTTTCATTTATAGTTTTAATTATTAAATAAGCATCAAATGGTGCAATTTGCCTTAAGTTATTTGTCCTGATCACTAGTGAGGATGGACACTTTTCTCATGTTTTAATGTATTGTGTGCGTTTATTTTTGTGTTAATTGTATAAGGAAGATTTTTGTGTTAATTATATGTGTTAAGAGGGACCACGGAGCAATTGGGGGATGAAGTTTGGAGCATTGGACCCTAGGTGTGGGACAGCCACCAGGGGGCTCATTTCCAGGATCTGGGTTCCCTGGGCTGAAAGCAGCCAAGGAAGTTAGACATCACTTGCACAGCAATCTGGCCTGGATGGGCCCTCAGAAATTATAATGGTCAGCCATACTGACCACATTCCTTCTTCCTTATGCTTTATTCTAGGAACTGGGTGGAACTAGACACCAGGGCTATTTGGTATCTCATCTGGCTAAAGTGGAGCTATCTTTTTAATGCAGGCAATGTGGGTGAACCATCGATCTTCTCATAATAACCGTATCAGTATGTAACCCTTTAAATCTTACAAAGAACTCCCACAACTCTTATCTCATTCGATCCTGACAACAGTGCTGTAAGAAACAGATATGATTATTTCTGCTCCACAGATTAGGAAACTGTTATTATTGTCATTATAAATAGTTGAGGAATGATCAGTCATTCAGAATGGTCCCTGGTAGATGGAGTTGGTTCTATTCCTAGGCAGAGAAAGTGCTGGAGAATGATCTTTCTGCCTCCACCCCTCCCCTCTCACCATCACATTTATGAAACAGCTTCCAGTCCTTTGTCTTCTTGGCAGGATGGCTGTAGCCTTTTGTTGATGGAGAAAACATTGAAGGTCTTTGTGTGGAAACAATAGCTGTTTGTTTTAGGAGACAATATTGTTATCTCAAAGGTGCACCTGGAACTGGCCCTGTACAGGAGTGGCTCTGAGCCTGGACAAGGCTGGGTCTGATCACCATGGAGTTGGGGAGGAGGGCAGAGACCTTTGGCTTTTGTGACTTGTGACTACATGCCAATCATCAATTGGATGCTCTTTATCCATCACTGGTTATAAGCAAATGCCTGCCTATATCACTCTACTTTCTTTTTTTTTTTAAATAGCAGGATTTCCTTTTCTGATGGCTGAATAATATTCCATTGTATTTATATATAGCACATTTTCTTTATCCACTTATCTGTTGATGAATATGCAAGTTGTTTCCATGCTTTGGCTATTGTAAATAATACTGCAGTGAACACAGGGGTGCTGATATCTTTGCAAGATAGTGATTTCACTTTCTTTGGATAACTACCCAGAAGTGGAATTGCTAGATAATATGATATAGTGGTTTTATTTTTAATTTTTTGAGGAACCTCCATAAAAGTTACCATTCTTTCTTTTTTTAAAGTTATCTTTCATCACTGAGCATTCTTAGAATTGACAAGGGAAGGAACAGAAGTATATTGGAGGTTCAGGAAATTATAGCTGAGCTTCTATTTCTTATGTGGTACAGCTATATAATGATGGCAGAAAATAATTGCTTACATAGAACTATGACATAAGTGAAGGCCCAATGGTAATGGAAAGAGTATGGAATCTGGAATAAGATGCCTTGGTTCATATGATAGTACAACCTGTTAACCTGATATTAGCCATGTGCCTTGGCAAGCTAGATCAAGATACTTAAATCTCTGGAAGTCTTGATTTCCCTATATATCAAATGAGAATAATGTGAGATTGGTGAAAAACAAATAAGGTACTTTGTCTAGTGCCTAGCATAAGTGAGCTTTCAATAAATATCAGTTGTCATTTCACATCAAGACATAAATTTAAAAATATTGAAAAGTAAAATTTAACCCACTAGAAAACTGAGATCTGTTGGAAAGCATCAGAATAATGCTTATGAAGGATCAGAAAGGCTAGCCCTCTGGAAGTGGTTGTCAAAGATTAGGAATGACCAAGGGTGATGATTTCATGCTTTTCCTAGCATACTCAGTTACTATGGCCCATCCAGACACAGAGAGTTACAAAGTTCTTTTCATATGAGGGTGAAGTGATCGGAGCCTTAATAATAAGAATTTAGCCCAACCAGAGTTGTTCAGTGGTTGAGCATTGACCTATGAACCAGAAGGTCATAGTTTGATTCCCAGTCAGGGCACATGCAAGGGTTGCAGGAAACAGCTAATCAATAGCTCTCTCTCATCATTGAGGCTTCTATCTCTTTCTCCCTCTCCCTTCCTCTCTGAAATCAATACAAATATATTAAAAAAAAAAAAAAAAGAGTTGACAATCAGTTCAAAGCAATGTTAATTTTGAGCAGTAACAGATTTGGAGAATTAGAGAAAAAGCTATGGCAATGAGTACCACCTAGTGGCTATTCTGAAGGCGCAACAATTTAATCAGCCGATTGTCGTTAGGAAAAGTTCAGCTCACTGACCATTAGCTCTAACTGTGTAATGGAATGGGCTCTCCAGCAGGCAGAAATTTGTTTTCCAGAGCCAGAAAATTGAGTCTGAGTCTTCCAGATACTTAGGATAGGTAATCACAGATTTGGATTAAAGAGAGGTAAAGTCATTTATTGGACTTCATGGAATGAAATGGGGAAATGTGAAGTAACATATTCCTTCTTTGTGGATATGCCCCTTGGAAAAGTATGATGTTACTTGTGTCTAATCTGAGGCCATATTGGCCCTTTATCATCCAACATTATGGACAAGCTCCAGTCCATCCCAAGTCATACCTTTTCCAGATGATGTGGTAGGAGAAAACATAACTCAAGATTTGAAAAGGAAAATTCTTAAAAGGGAATTGCCCATTAGAGGCCAGCAAACCATATTTAAACATTTTTTAATGTAATTACAGACTTATAGAAAAGTTGCAAGAATAATACAAAGTATTCTTAGCTCCATCCACCCAGATTTCTCAAATAAGAACACATTACAGTGCTTGTTTTTCCTGTATCATTCCCTCTAGATATCTATCTACATATACATACAACTGTTTGAGAGTAAATTGCAGACAAAAATGTCTCCTTACTCCTATACTTCAATGTATATTTCCTGAAAACAAGGACATTCTTTTATCAAAGTCAGAAAATTATCAATGATTCAATACTATCATCTAATAAATAGACCTTATTATACTTTCACTAATTATTCCACTAATAGCTTTTATAGCAAAATAAATAAATTATGGCCCAGTATATAATCCTAACTGAATGCACACATTTCATGTAGTTGTCATGCTTCTTTACTTTCTTTTAATCTACCACAATTCTTTAATCTTTCTTTCTCTTTCATGACCTAGCTAAAATATTTAGCAACAAAAGAAATCATAATATTAGCAAATTAAGGAATCCATTAAGGACCAATCTGTAAAATAAATGGCTATAGTCTTCAAATTCTGCCTTTTAATCAGAAAATTTATACTTTCTCTTGACAACCCTATTTTAGACTGGGTGTCTGTCTTAGGATGGTTGGTAGAGATCCAGTTCTACAGAGCAAAGGTCAGGTCTTTTATATATATCCAGGATGCTCTGAGTTCCTCTGTCAAGTGACAATTGTGCCCATCAGGATGCAATGGGGCCAGAGGTACCATGCTTACCTCTGACCCCCGTGGCTGCAAACTGACTCCAGGGTCCAGGAGACCACATCTCCATTGTAAGGTGTTTGGCCAAGGCCTTGGAGTACTCTAAAATTTTCAGGCACTTTCTCAAGGACATAAATATAAGACAAATAAAATGAAACACTATTTGATGCAGAAGATGAAAATTTCTTGGCTCCAGGGAGTGAGAACAAGGAAGTTAAGCTGGTTTAGGAAGAGAAAAGTGAATTTTCATAATGGCAATGTCAGGAGACAATTACTGAGTGGAGTTCAGTCTCTCTGAGGTGAGCTAGGAGGGAAGGAGGAGATCTTGTAGCCACAACTCTTCCTTAATGCAGTCCCTGGTTTCCCCAGTGCCGCCATCAGCCTCCCCAGTCAACTCTAGGGGTGGGTCCGATATACTTCTATCTAGGTTGCATTGTTGGCCCAAGGCCAATGGGTTTTCCTGTGTTTTTTGTTGTTTCTGAAAATGGAGATGGGAACAGTGAGAAGAATGCCTTTTGGTTTTGTTTCTAGTGACCTATGGGATGACAAGCTCCAGTGCCTATTACTATACCAAAGTCATGTCTGAGCTTTTCTTACACACCCCATCAGACACCAGAGTCTCCTTCCAGGCCATCAGCAGCATGGCAGACTTCTGGAATGTGAGTATGACATAACCTCTCCTTTCTCAATGGCCTGAGGGATGAGGCCACGTACAGGCCAGAGTTCAGGTACATCAGACAATGGATGAGACAATATCCAAAGACCAGATCATTCCAGCATCAGGCTGAATCAAAGGGTCATGAAAGGATTAATGGGTCAGATTAGAGTTAAGGTGGTGGTAGGTGAGAGATCAGGATGATGATCAGGGCATCAAGCCAATAATTGGACTAGTATGAGAAGTCAGAGGTAAGACTGAACTTCTAAATACGTATTAAATAAAGAGTAAGGCCACAGGTCAAGATCTGATTAAGGTTCATGGATCAGCTAAGGAGTCCAACAGAAGCAGACTAGAGACAAGGTGGGGGGACAGGGAGTGAGGGCAACGATCATTCTAAGAGTAGAGGTCAGGATGAGGCTGGGTCAGGCTCAACCCTGCTTGTGGTTTAGTTTGCTCAGGGCCCACTACTGGACAGTTTGTATTGGACCAAATGGTACAACAACCAGAGCCTGGGCCATGGCTCCCACTCCTTCATCTATTATGAGAACTTGCTGCTGGGGGTTCCCAGGCTGCGGCAGCTGAGGGTCCGCAATGACTCCTGCGTGGTACACGAGGACTTCCGAGAGGACATTGTGAGCTGCTATGACGTCTACTCTCCGGACAATGAAGAGCAGCTCCCTTTTGGGCCCCTCAATGGCACCGCGTGAGTTCCCACACCAAGATTATAGGGCTTGCCCCTCTGGGCCTGACACCACCCCAAAGTTTGGAAACCACTTCCACAGAGCCATAGGGAAAAGCAGAGGTAGAGCTTTGGGATACTCAGAGAAATGGGTCCCCACTTTGGCTCTCTGAGTCCCAACTTTGGCTGTTTAGAGACTTTGGTCTGGAACAGAGAAGGTACATGAGCAGTCTGAGCCACAGCCTCGGGACTTGTTTCCACACACAGGTTACAGTCACATTTGCCTTACTCTGGAGGCATTCCTACCAGAGATGGCTTTTTTTTTTTTTTTCTTTTCTTGCCCAGAAGTCACTTGAGAATATGGAGAATTGATGAAGCATCGATACTGTCATATGAGTCATGATTGGAAGTCTGACCCTTGGAACTGATAGGGAGAGCAGCAAAGAATCAAGTATGGATGACAAATTAGGGGAGAAAAGGGGAAAGTACAGCTAGGTCAGGAAAGAAAGGGGGTTCCGGGTAGAAAATTTGTAATCAGAACAGTTATGAGGTTACTCAGCTAGGTACATGTCCACGATTACAGAAAGGGGCTTTTTTGTATTATAAGGGCCAGGTGCTTCCTGTAAAGGGACTACTCAGGGAGGGGTCAAAAGCCATGCTTGGATATGTCATCCATACTCTTGGGTGACGTCATGAAAAATTAGGAGATTTTACATTTGAGTTTCGGTTTGGCCACTAACTAGCTGGATAATCTCAAACACCTCTGAGTCTTGGTTTCCTCATTTGCAAAATGTGGATAATGTTTATCCTCAGGTCTAAAACTGATGTTGAACACAAAACAAGATAATATATGAGAAATATACATTCAGGGTGTCCCAAAAATGTATAATTATTCATTTCAATGGGTTAAATCGAAAAAGAAACATTGGAATTACTTGTTCAAAGTGTGTATACAGTTTTTGGGAGAACTTTATATATGTGATATGTATATATAATATATGTATGAAACTGTAAAGCCCAGATAACCATAAAGTATTGCCATTGCCTTGGGAGATCAGCCTTAGGTTGACTCAGACATCTGCTTAGATGGCTTCTTCCTCGGCAGGTGGACATACCACTCAGAGCATGAGCTGGGGGGCTCTTCTCACTGGGGCCAGCTCACAAGCTACAGTGGAGGTGGCTACTACCTGGACCTTCCGGGATCCCGACAGGGCAGTGCAGAGACACTCCGGGACCTTCAGGAGAGCCTGTGGCTAGACAGGGGCACTCGGGTGGTCTTCATCGACTTCTCAGTCTACAATGCCAACATCAATCTTTTCTGCGTTCTGAGGTGGGTCCCCTTCCCCTACTGCATCCCTCCATCCATGATTCCTGGTTCTCTTCTCTGCTCAAGACCCTTCCCTAAACATACAACCTATGCTGGGGATAGGGAGAAAATGGAACAGGAGTAACTGTCCCAGCCTAGGCCCCACCAGACATCTCTCCTCCCACAGACTGGTGGTGGAGTTTCCAGCTACCGGAGGTGCCATCCCATCCTGGCAGATCCGCACAGTTAAGCTGATTCGCTATGTCAGCAACTGGGACTTCTTTATCATTGGCTGTGAGATCATCTTCTGCATCTTCATCTTCTATTATGTGGTGGAGGAGATCCTGGAGCTCCACGTCCATCGACTTCGCTACCTCAGCAGCATCTGGAACATTCTGGACCTGGTGGTCATTTTGGTAAGGAACAGATATCTTGGACATAGTTGGAGGAGATGGGGGAATCTACCCTGATAGGGACCCTGAGTTATTCCTTTTAGAATCCCAAGTCCTCCTTACGACTTCTGGTCAAATCCCTGTTTAACAGCTCTCTGACCAAGCCCTGGAAAAACCTTGTCTCCCACATCCCTTCTCCCTCTAGTTCTTGATCCAGACTCTGCACTTTTCTTTATGTACTTGATACTCTCTTCCTCATCTGTCTCACGCCTTGATGATCCTCTTAAAACTCCTGCCTTTTCTCTCGTATTAAAATATCCTGCCTCTTCATCTGTGTCTCATTCCTATTAATAGGACACATTCATTTCCTGACCAAGGCTGGGAAGTGGTGGGGGAAATAAAGTTACTTGGTTCCAGTTCTCTATGGTCCTTCACAACCAATGGTAGGTATTTACCTTTGGCCCTGGAACCTTCTCTTGGGCTTTAAGACGCTCCCCAATAATCCTATCCAGTTCCACTTGAACCTGGGATAGTCAACAAGTCAGCAATGAAGGATGTTTTGTTTCCCACCTGTGTTACTCCTATAACTTCATCACTGAACTTCATCACTGAGATCCCCTTGACTTTTCTGACCCCTCAACCCCTGTGATGACAGCTCTCCATTGTAGCTGTGGGCTTTCACGTATTCCGAACTCTTGAGGTGAATAGGCTGATGGGGAAGCTCCTGCAGCAGCCAGATACATACGCCGACTTCGAGTTCCTCGCCTTCTGGCAGACACAGTACAACAACATGAATGCCGTCAACCTCTTCTTTGCCTGGATCAAGGTACCCTGGGACTCCGTACTCCCAGTTTCACCTCGGAGCGCTCATTCTCCCTTCCTCAATACTGGTCTCATTTCCCTTGCCTGTTTTGGCAACTCCTGTGACCTCCATAGCCCCCTGAAGTGGATTGTTTAAAGGTTTTTCTCTTTTCTTTCTTAATTGCTTGGTACAACACGGTCCTTCCAGATGTTCAAGTACATCAGCTTCAACAAAACCATGACCCAGCTCTCCTCCACACTGGCCCGCTGTGCCAAGGACATCCTGGGCTTCGCTGTCATGTTCTTCATCGTATTTTTCGCCTATGCCCAGCTCGGCTACCTGCTTTTCGGGACCCAAGTGGAAAACTTTAGTACTTTCATCAAGTGCATGTGTGTGTCCTGTCCCCTTCACTCTTCCCTGGCCCCTCACCCTCCAACTCCATGAGTGTATGTGTCCTTGGGGAAGCTGGGTATATTCATATGGGCATGTCTGTGTTTAAAGTATCTGCGTGAGAGTCTCTGCAGGCCCAGATGCCTGTGCTCAAGTATCTGAGCATCCTGTCCTGTGTCTATCAGATTGGGTTGGGAGGAGTAGTGAGTGGTCTGTCTGAGTCCACTAAAGAGCAGTTGGGAAAGTGGATGGGGTATGGGTTGGGACCAGGGTTATGGTTAGGCTCTGGGTAAAACCCAGAACCTGGTCTCTCAGTTTCACTCAGTTCCGGATCATCCTTGGGGACTTTGACTACCATGCTATCGACAATGCCAACCGCATCCTGGGACCTGCCTACTTTGTCACCTATGTCTTTTTCGTCTTCTTTGTGCTTCTGGTGAGGGTCCTTCTGAGAAAAGGGTGGAGATTTGGGACCTGAGGGGGGAGATGTAGATGGTGGGGTTTTGACACCTGCACCCTATTTTGCATCCAAGATTACAATAGTTTGTTTGTTTTTAAATTGAAGATGGGGAGTGTGTTGTGAGGTGGGCTGGATCTTCTGAGAGTTGTATAATGTGATTGGTCAGTGTGGTAAACACTGTCAGGTAGTTTGCACAGTATAAGGGAATCTGTAGGCTACATCACTAACATCAAACCTGTATTCTCCAAGGATGGAAAGAGAGAGAAAAATGCCTCATTAGAAGGGGCTTCACCTAAAAGCTTCCACGCCTATTCTCCAAAACTCCCCTTCCTGTGGGGATCACTAGCTGTTTTTACTACCACTGTTTCTGGCTTCAGTGCTTGGTGGGCCCTTACATGAAAAGACTGTGGCATATGTTGGAGTACCTTTCTGGTCAGGTTACTGTAGCAATGGAGTGAGGTCACCCCTCCATGATCCATCACTAACAGGACTGTACTGGGAGGCTAGGCTCTGAGGACCTTGAGATTCGGGGGTTAGTGGGCCGCAGATCTGGGGTTAAAAGCATGGCCCCTTTAGAACATGTCTAGAACATTAATAGAGCCAGTGGGCTCCATGCTGTTAGTGGGTCTGGGCATGAGGAACCACATTCCTGCCTTACCCTCCAGAACATGTTTCTTGCCATCATCAATGACACATATTCAGAGGTCAAGGAGGAGTTGGCTGGACAGAAGGATGAGCTACAGATTTCTGACCTCCTGAAACAGGTAACTAACTACTCAATCTCTTGAGCTGCATATCTATGTTCTGATCTGTTCCCAACTAATGTAGGGGCCTGTGCTCTTTTGTCCTTTCAATTTGTCCCTGGAAGCCTGGAATCTTGTGGATAAGGAGGAGGCTGTGGGAACTGGTTCCTGTTTTCCTTTCCAGGGCTACAAGAAGACCCTGCTGAAGCTGCGTCTCAGGAAGAAACAGGTTTTGGATGTGCAGAAGGTCCTGCAGGGTGGGGAGCAGGAGATCCAGTTTGAGGATTTCACTAACACCTTGAGGAAGTGAGCAACCAGCGATCCAACTTTCTCTGATACTGGTCTATAAATCCTTGACCTTCAACCATACATCCTTTGCCTATAAGCCTCTGATCTTGGCCTATAGGTCTCTGCGCTTGACTATTAGGCTTTTGACTTTGGCCTATATGGCACTGATCCTGTCCTTCAGAATTGTGCTCTTGGTTTAAAGGTCTTTGACCATGTTCTATAATGTTCTGGACTTTGTTGAACCAACTCTTGGGAGTAATGTAATGTAGTTCCATGATCATTGTATACATCCCTCACTCCCACAAAACTCTGATCTTGGTTCCATGCTTCCCACAAACACTGGTCTATTTTCTTAGCTAGTCTCTCCCAGCTTCCCAGTTAAACATATTAATAAACACTGAAGAAATATATTGTAAGCACTAGCTGTAGGTCAGACAATGAATAATAAGTAGTTGATCATGGCTAAGGTATCCAGTAAAAGGTGGGTCATAGTAGGAGATGTGGCCATAGAAATGGACCACATTGGAAAAAGCCTCAAACACTACTTCTCTATCCAAAGGATAGGATGCTCAAGAGGCATTTAAGCAGGGACGGGCTATATTGAGACCCATACTTTAGAAAGATTAATTACTCTAGTTCCACTATAGAGAAAGGATTTCAAGTAGAGAGTAAAGGGGAAGCTGAAGAAATGGAGGGCAGGTTATTTAAAGCAAAGAGATTCTGCACTGTAGGAGAACACAAAGGCCTGAACCAGGAGACAGGAATGAAAGAAATAGACTCCAGTGATTTCTTGGGGGTAAAATGGCTAGACTTTGGAGATCCCAGCTTTCCTATGAGGTGGTCCCTTTCTTCCCTAGAGAATGAGACTCCTGCCGGAGTCTGGCTAAAAGAGTGGTGAGTCCACAATCAAGAGATTACAGCCACAGCTTGTCAGAAGTTATTTTATCATCCTGTTCTCCTCAGACTGGGGCACAAAGAGCACGAGATCACTAAGCTCACGGCTACCTTCACCAGGTTTGACCAAGATGGGAATCATGTCCTGGATGAGAAGGAACAAAAACAAATGCAACAGGACCTGGAGGAGGAAAGGGTGAGCTCAGCTGGATGGTGTAGAGGTAGTATCAGGAAATTGCTTTCCCTCCCTTCCCTTTCTACTCATCCAGAGCACAAACCCAAACTGAAAATCTTCCAATAGATGAGCAGGAAAGAGCTCTCTAGAACAGTGGTTCTCAAATTGCTGCATATTAGAATGCATGAGAGCCTTTAAAAGTCCTCACACTCAGCCCTGGCCAGGTAGTTGGTGGGTTTGATATCTGGTCAGGGTGTGTACAGGAGGCAGTCCATTGATATTTATCTTTCATTGATATTGCTCCCCCCTTCTTCTCTCTCTAAAATCAATAAAAAACATACCTTTGGGTGAGGGTATGTTTTATTATTTAGGCCACACCTTAGACCAGAATCACTGTGTGTGTGTAAAAGTTGGGGACCCAGGAAATTAGTATTTTAAAAAATATATATTTTATTGATTTTTTTACAGAGAGGAAGGGAGAGGGATAGAGAGCTAGACACGTCGATGAGAGATAAACATCGACCAATTGCCTCTTGCACACCCCCTACTGGGGATGTGCCCACAACCAAGATATATGCCCTTGACCGGAATCGAACCTGGGACCCTTCGGTCCGCAGACCAACGCTCTATCCACTGAGCCAAACTGGTTTTGGCAGAAATCAGTATTTTTTTAAAAAACATCCTAGGTGATTCCAATGCATAGCCAAGGTTGAGAACCATTGCTCTAAAATAGTCTGTAAGGGGAAAGGTTCAATTGCTCAAAAATACCTGATGATTCCTTCCTTTTGAGATTTTTTTCAAACTCTTATCCTTAGCTGTCCGTAATATTCCTGCTCCATCCTTATCTAGTGTAGACCAAAAAGTCAACGGCAGGAGGCATTCTGGTACTGTCCTTCCTCTCCCAAACTGAGTTGGCCTCTAGTGAAGACCTCTTTAATCAAGGCCTCAATGAGCTTGTATTTTATTTCTTTGGGTTGTGATTCCTTTCCAGAGGTTGGGCCAGCTTTGTGTCCAGTGCCACTACTCTGACCATTGTCTCCAGAGTTTGAGAGGGAAGGGGCATAGCAAGAACTATATAACCCAAGGCCTGTTCCTGAAAGCGAATTGGAACCAGAGATGATGGCTTCCCAGAATCATCTTCTCCTGACATCTGACTTCTTGATCAGGTGGCCCTCAGTACTGAAATTGAGAACCTGGGCTGGTCCTTTGTGAGGAATTCACCGGATAAATCAGATCTAGAGGCTACTGGAGCAGGTGACTGGGTTTCAGGAGAAGAATTCTACAGGTATGTACATCCAGGGACCAGGGCTGACTGTGTTTAAATATCCTACCTTGAACTTCTTTCATGGCCTTCTAAACCTCTGTCCTAGCCTAGGAAGAACTGCCCCCATTTAATTCTCCCTAAAGGTTGGGTCTTACCTTCTTTTCTCCCACCTAGACATACACTATTCTGTTCTCCTTCCCCTGCAGACACTCAATCCCCCAAGCACTTATTTCTGCTTCCTTGATCTCTCTCAAATCCTGAACAGGCTCACAAGAAGAGTTCTGCAGCTGGAGTCTGTCCTGGAAGGAGTCCTGGCCCAGGTGGATGTTGTGGGCTCAAAGCTAAGAATGCTGGAGAGGAAGAGGCAGCTGGCTCCCTCCCCAGGCGCGGTGAGTGGCCCTTCACCTGAGTCCTCTTGGCTCCCACAGTTGAACTCTACCATCTTCTCCACTCAGTGGGTAGAGGCAAAACATTTCTGAGAAATCTGTCTTCAGGCTATTGGGGTGAAATGTTCTTCACAGTAGTCAGTATACAGGGGAGGTTAGGGAGTGGGGCAAGGCCTAAAGGTGGTTGCTCTGGCCTGAGGGATGCCTTGGCCTCTAGGAGATGGTCTAGAATTGGAGAATCAGATCCAGATAAAAGGAAAGTGGGACACAAAATCCTCTAATGACCTGTCTGTCCCTTTTTCTTCTAACAGGGGGAGCAGGCACTTGGGAACACCTATAGCCAGCCACAGCTGTGATTCCAGCCCCCTGGGGAGTTGAGGGTGAGCAGGACAATGGTGGGGGAGGGGTCCTAAAGCATCCGACAGTAGGCTCCCCTCTCACTGCCTTCCCAGAGCCCCCTCTGCACATTCCCTCTATTTCTAGGGCAACAGTTCCCACTGCTGCTGCTGCCAAGTCCTATCCTGTGTTTGGCCTTTTAAGCCCATGTTTTTGTGTGTGTTAACTGAGCGTCATGTTTAGGCTTGTGCCTCTGTTTCTGTGTGTAGCTATGTAGCTCTGCATAGCTCTGTGAAATAATATCTCCCACTGGGCCTCTCACACCCAGTGCTTCCTATCTCTGCTGTAGTGATTAAACAAACAACCAAAAAGGTCAAAAGCAAACAGAATAAAAAAAGGGAAGGTAATGATTTCCCCAAGCATCTGGATGGTCATGATTCCTGAAAAATATATAGCATTCAAGAGTAGCAATATCTAGATATCTTCCTATTTACCAGTGAGTCTTACCCATTGGACATCTAGAGACCTACTTCTAGGACCTATTAGGTTCTTGTCTTCCTCATAGAATTTCCCTGAAGAAGAGAAGGGGAAGTCATATAGGTGAGGAGACTCTCATGTGGGGAGATTACAATGTTGCAGAGCAGTTGGGAGTGATTACATACCTCCCCAACCTGAAGAGACCATCCATGAACACTCCATGGAGGATCCTACTCCCAACCTCCTACAGAACACGGAGCTGAAGGGGCTGTAAACCAGGATGAAGTTGGAGCCTGCAGAAAACCAGGCAAAGAAATGGCCCCATGATTCAGAGATCTTTGGATTAAGATGTGCTAGGCTCTGACTCTATTCTTCCATTGAACAGTGTGGGTTTGCCTGGTGACTATCAATAAAAATACTTAGGAAAATCAAGGCTTTGCACTTGCTTCTGGGATTGTAAGGGGAAGAAAAGAGTTGGAACTGAGAGTCATCTTTGTACTTGGGTTGGGGACAGCCCATCCCTGCTGGGAGGTCTGGAGTGGAGGCAGTGGCAGTATGAAGGAGCTGGCTGCTTCAGGAGTCCTAAAATAAGATCTTCTGGCTCAGACGAATGGTTTGAACTGGTGGGCACTATGACTGTACCATTAGAGACTGGAGTCAGTGACCTAGGGAGACCTGGTCCTCAGAATGAAGGGAATAAGGTAGCCCCCTTACTTTGATGTGTGAGGGGTGGGGGGGCAGAAGGGGTAGCTGGTATGTGGGGGAGGGTGACAGGTTGCAGATGGAAGATAACCATGGATAAGACCAAAAACTTCTACACCAAGATTTTGAGTGTACAGGTCTGCATCTCAATGAAATGGAATTTTTGAACTATAACCCGGATTCTTTGTATGCCAGAGTTGAAGTATGAATCCACGGAAAGAGAGTAGTATAGCAAAGGTGGAAATTTATTGAAGAACAAGTACAGACTCCCATGTGGGAAGAGGGAAAGAGTCCCACAGAATGGACTCCCACATGGGGAGGGGGAAAGGGTCCCATTGAGTTTTTTCCCCCTATGGCTTATAAAGGGATCCTGGTGCCTTGATATCCCTTCTGATTGATCACTATTCCCTTATTGGTCACCTGGCTTCCTTGTGTTATGGAGATGTACTTTCTCCCAATCTGTAGCTCTTTGTTTTTCCATGGACCCCAATTCTAAAAATTCCCTAAGCCTGCCTTATATTCCCCTAAAATTCCTGTTTCATCAAGACTTCCTATATATCTCCTTTCCCTTCCCCTGTGATCTTCATCCTTTCCTCATTTTGTGCCTTCCATTGCTCCCCAGTCGCTTTTTCTTATCTATTTCCTTCACCCACCCCTGTTCTGCCATCCCACCAAGTACACTCTGTATACCTAGGAGACTTTGAGAAATAGCAACACGTTTTTCAAAGTAAAGAACCACAGTCTAGCCGAAACCGGTTTGGCTCAATGGATAGAGCGTCGGCTTGGGGACTGAAAGGCCCCGGGTTTGATTCCAGTCAGGAGCATGTACCTTGGTTGCGGGCATATCCCCAGTGGGGGGTGTGCAGGAGGCAGCTGATCGATGACTCTCTCTCATCGATGTTTCTAACTCTCTATCTCTTTCCCTTCCTCTCTGTACAAAATCAATAAAATATATTTTAAAAAAAAGTTACGATCTAAGCTTTCTTATAGAAAGGCTGCATCAACAATAGAAGTAGATGCCATCCTACAGTTTAAGAAAAAGGGACCAAAGAATAGGGGTTAATCCAGGACATTGGAAGGGAGAGCATTTCGGCACAGCAATCAACTCCTGAAGGCTTCCCCAAGCCTGAATGAGACTACTTTCAGAAGCATGGATTTTCTGAGCCGGGTTTTTTTTTTTTTTTTTTTTTTTGCGACTCAAACCAGCCTGGGAGGTATTAACTGGGAGGGGATAACCTGTCTCCTCCAGTGCATTTGACCATCAGATCAGACCCAGACGGGTGGTGCGTTTCCCTGAACGAGTGACCCCTCTAAGGACGAGCGCATCCTCAGTTCCAGAAGTCCCGACTCTTGGGAGTGGATTGACTCAGGATAACCTTTCTTAGCTTCAGTTTTGGCTTCATGCTTTACATTTTCTTACTCAAACTTGGGCTGCAAGCCGAAACCGGTATGGCTCAGTGGATAGAGCGTCGGCCTGCGGACTGACAGGTCCCAGGTTCGATTCCGGTCAAGGGCATTGTACCTTGGTTGCGGGCACATTCCCAGTGGCGGGTGTGCAAGAGGCAGCTAATCGATGATTCTCTCTCATCGATGTTTCTAACTCCCTATCCCTAAATCTTCCTTTCTGTAAAAAAAAAAATCAATAAAATATATATATTTAAAAAAAACCCCACAAAAACAAAACTTGGGCGGCGAGACTTAGCGGAGAGCGTGCCTTGGGAACCCAGGGCTCCCGGTGCGCATGCGCAGGCATCCCCAAACCGGAAGCAGCGCGGGGCCTGGCATGGCGGCGGCGGCAACGGCGGCGGCGGAGGCGCCCGAAGGTGTCCCTGCGAGCCCACGAGAGGAGCCGGTTCGAGGTACGCCGGGTGGGTGGGGATGAGGTGTCCAGGGGGAGGCCTGGGAATGGGGTTGGGGCCCGGATGCCGGGTCACCTGGCAGGAGCGGGCATCGGAGGGGCGGACCGGTCTGTGTCCTGTCCGCGGGCGAGGTGGTCCGGCGGCGGCGGCGCGGGGAGCGGAGGGGACGTGTCCGGTGGGGCCGGGCCGGAGGGCGGGGCTCGGAATCATGGCTCGCGGAGGGTTTAGCCGATTCGATCGGCGGAGGACAGGCGGAGGGGGGTGGGAGCCGACGCCGGGGCTGGAGGAGGAGGACCGGCTGCGGGGCACTGAGTCCTTCTCCTTCGATCCAGACGATGCCGCGGTGGAGACGGCCGAGGAGGCGAAGGAGCCCGCGGAGGCCGACATCACCGAGCTCTGCCGGGACATGTTCTCCAAAATGGCAACTTACCTGACAGGGGAACTGACGGGTGAGGCGGAGGCTGGGGGATGTGGGTAGTGCGGTGCCCCCCTCGCTGGAGCTGCGGTTCGTCTTGGGGAGACCCGGGAGGTGCTTCCGCAGCATCGGTCTGCGCCCCCCTCTCCCCAACCCCACCTGCACCCCCCTCTCCGCAGCCCCACCTGCCCAGAAACATGCCCGTTGGAAGTTTGGCGCCATCCTGAATGGGAAGGAAAGATGTGCATTCCTTCCCTGGAGAAATGCACGAACTACCTTCAAATACACACAAGAATACGTAGTACAACTCCACAGGCCTCCGTATTGCAGACTAACGCCGAGAAAAACAGAAAAGAATGAACCAAGAAGTGCCTCCTTGGGGGAAGTGCATTTTGAGCAGGTTGTGAAGGGAATGAATGACCCAAAAGGAGGGAAACAACTAGTGTGTGTGTGTGTGTGTGTGTGTGTGTGTGTGTGCGTGCGTAGTGGTGTAAGCGAGAAGTGTGTTTGGCCAAAATAGTTGTAGTTATTGGGGCAAAGAGAAAAGGGAATGGGGAGTGACCTGCAGGTTTAGGGGCCTGTGAGGTCGTTCAGAGGATTTGGTGACACCCCTTGGGTGATTTAAGTGTTGGTTCCTGGTGTATTTCCAGATGAATACGTGATCTGTGTGCTGAGGAGGGTCCAAAAGGTGAAGCCTGGTCCAGGGTGAAGGAGTGATTGATTGTAAAAGGAATGGAAAGGAAGGCATGGGTGCAAGAACATGATAGAGGTGGGATTTATAGAACTTGTTAAGGTGGGTATTGAGGGGTTGGGAGCAGCCCAAGATGGATGTACTGGTATTTGAGCTATTAAAATAGCCTGGGTGGTTCCATCAACCAAAATAGGGAAATTGGAAAGAGGAACTGTACTTGAAGTGAAAAGAATATTTTCAGTTTTGGCTTGGCTGACTTTAGATATTACCAGGACCCTCATTTGACTACTGTTAAGACACTCCGGTGACTTGAACACATGAGTCCAGATCTCAGAGAGTGGTCAGAGCAGGAGAAACAGATTTTACTGTGGGAGACACCCGCATAGTGCTGTGAGCTGGGGGTGTGCGGGATGAGATTGGCAAGGAAGAGCTTAGAGATAGATCAGAGCACCTTGACTAAAGTCTCAGGGGATGCCGTTATAAGGCAGTTAATTTGCTTTTAATAACAGTACTTTAAGCGCCTAGTTTTCAGATGATTGATTATTTTTTTAATTTAAAATATATCTTTATTGATTTCAGAGAGAAAGGGGAGGGAGAGGAAGAGATAGAAGCATGATGAGAGAGAATCATTGATCTGCCGCTCCCTGCACACCCCCTATTGAGGATCGAGACAGCATGTACCCTTGGCCCTGGGACCCTTCAGTCAGTAGCTGATGCTGTATCCATTGAGCAAATCCGGCTAGGGCTGATTGATTAATTTTAAGCAGATTGTAATTTCCCCCCGATTGTCATTTTTACCTGCATAAGTACTGTTTTGAGTTTGAAAGGAAATACCTTGGGAATGTGCCACCCGTGTAAACATCAGTTATGCGTCACAGTTGAGAAAAGTTGAGAACTGACAGTTAAGGAGGTTGGTTTAAAAAGGATCTGGCATTAGAAACCTAAAAAGAACAGTTAGAAGGAGATTTAAAAATCATTGTAATACGGTATACAATTCTATAGCAGCCCAGGGAGAATTTCCTGAAGACAGGGAGATCCAAGTGTCAGATTTATAGAGAGGTCCGGGAGAATAAGAACTATGGATTTCATGGTTAGGAGACGGAGGCATGTAATTTCTCAGGATAGTAGGGGCAGAGGCCAGACTGCAGGGGTTCACCTGAGTGAATGGTGAGGACAAGGAAGAGTGTAAACTACTCTTTCAGAAGAGTTAGCAGTGAAGCTCCTTTGCTTTCACGAGCAAATGAGTGCTTTTGGGCTGGAGGAAACCTGGATATATTTCCAATAGAGAGGAAGATCCAAGGTGGAAGGAGTTTGGAAATGCAAGAGAGAGGAGGTGATTGAAGAGAGGCCCTGCAGCGGTGGAAGAGTTGGGGTCAAGAGCACAGCAGGTGGAGTTGTTTTGGCAGGAATAAAGCACTTCTGCCTCCTGGGAGGATCTTAAGGTACAGAGAAATTTCTAAGTGAGGCAAAAAGGCTGAGGCAGCTTGAGAAAATTGGAGTAGAAGCCATGTGCTTTGAGTAGGAATGGGGAAAAGAATTGGGGATGTGACAAGCCGGCAAATGGTTTGGAAAAGTGAGTGCAGAAAATGCAGGGTAGAATTACATAGTAATGAGTGAGTTACTAAGAAGTGGTAAGGTCTTAGGTGACTATATATATCAGTAATATGTATGGTGCAGCTCCCCAGTTTACATGTTTTCACACTGTAGAAACACCAAGACTTTCACTTCCCTTTTCTTAAGACATACGTTTATCATATCCCTTTCTAACCCAGATCCTGAAGTTTATGGATCTTATTTGGTTTAAATAATTTGCCGATTGTTGCCTGAGTTTCTACTTAGACATTCAGAGTACACAGGCTGAGTATAAATGTCAAAGGTCAAAAGTGGATTGCTCCTTCACCATTCCTAGATCCTGCTTTGAATTACCATTTGGTCTCTAATTTCACATTCCAGTGATCCAAGATAAATATTAAAGGCATTATATCTTCTGTTTGTTTTAAAGCCACCAGTGAAGACTATAAACTCCTGGAAAATATGAATAAATTAACCAGCCTGAAGTATCTTGAAATGAAAGATATTGCTATAAACATTAGTAGAAACTTAAAGGATTTAAACCAGAAGTGTAAGTAATAATTTTTATAATTACACATGTTTGTAATAAATGTTCTGTTAAGCTTGGGGCCGTGGAGAAGGAGAGGGACCATGGCTCCTGTATTCAGGGAGCTCATTTTCTAAGTGAATTACAAAGTTAAGGTGCATTTCTTCTATTCTGAGGAGCAGCATGTTTTGGTGGTATGGTTATTTCTGCTTCTGAATCTTGATTTGGTCAGTTTATCCCTGAAAAGGGATGAGGAAAAGAAAGGGTGGCCAGATTCTGATTTAACAATGAAATCAGTGAGTTGGTTTAACAATGAAATCCATAAAGGATGACTCTATGAACAGAAAACCAGAACATCTATAGGTGGAAAATGCTAATTTAGACCGGTAGACTATATTTTTTCCATTAGCTTATATTTGTGTTCTCTGTCTCTTTCCTGGTCTGGGAGTACCCAAGATGTGGAATCTGTAATGGGAAGATTGCTTGTAGAATAAGGAATTTAAGAGACAAAGTTAATGGATGAAAGACTTGTTTTGTCTAGGTCATATCATGTCTTCTAAAGCGTTTGTCCTGCTAATGATCAGAATCATGTCATCCCACCTTGTGTGTCTTAGGCAGAGCTGCAGACACACTAGCACTCTTACATTTTCACTCTTTTCTATTCAGCTTGTTGAAGCCATATAAGCATGTGGCCTGTCTTTGTTTTTAAAGATGCTGAACTACAGCCTTATCTGGATCAAATCAATGTAATCGAGGAGCAAGTAGCAGCTCTTGAGCAGGCAGCCTACAAATTGGATGCATATTCCAAAAAACTGGGTAACCATTTTGTATTTCTGGTTTGCTTAATAAGAGTACCTGCCGTTATGATCTTAGCTAATATGATAGTTAATATTTATGATGTGCTTATAATGATCTTTTTTCTTTTTAATGCTCATCTGAGGATCTGTTGAGAAAGAGAGAAAGAAACTTCAATATGAGAGAGAACATTGATCGGTTACCTCCCAAAGGTGCCCCCACTGAGGATTGACTGGGAATCAACCTGTGCTCTGACTGGGAATCAAACCTGTCACCTTTTGGTGCACAGGACAACTCTCCAACCCACTGAGCCGTCTGTCCAAGGCTATAATGATTTATTTTAATCTTCACAAAAACCTAGTGAGAATCATTTCTTAGTAGTACTAGTAATAAAAATAACATTTTCTGGTCAGGCACTGTTCTTAGTGCTTTACATATATTAAGTTTTTTTTTTTTTTTTTATCCTCTCAATACATATGAGATAAGTACATGATTTTTGTCCTTATTTTTTAGAAGAAGAAACTAGTTGAAGAGGTTAAACAATTTATATAAAGATACAAAGCTAGTATGTGGAAGAGCTGTATTCCAAACCAGGTCTGATTGATACGAAGCTCAAGCTCTTAATTGTGGTTCAGCAGGCTAGCGCTAGAGCATCTTTGATAATGTAAATACATATGTCTTAAAAACAGGATAGTTATTTAAGGATTTTCTTCAAGAATTACTTTTTTTTTAAGGAGGAAACTGTACTTTTAGTGTTGATGGCTTACTAATTGTTTCTTGCTCTTATAACCATGACTAAAAATAACAAAGTTGTTTTTATCCTAGGTATAATTTACAGATTTTTAAATTTTTATCATAAACAGTTGTTGACTACTTCAAGAGAATGGTTTGTAGCAGACTGAGATTTGATGTGGGTGGTGATTAACAGTGTCATTGTCTACAATGAAACTTACTGAATGGTGACCTTGAACCTCGCTATTTAGGCGGCATTGTACTAAGGTGCTTTTAAAGTTTTAAAGACCAAGGGAATCCATTCCATTAAAAAGCCTATTTGATGGTCTTTTAAAACTTGTATCTTTCAAAATTGCTTTCTGAGGATAAGACAATAAAAGGTAAAACATACATTTATACTTCCTAAGAGTTCCAGTCTGGCTCCCAGAGGGTGCCTGGCACAGAGCCTGGAGAGGCAGTTCCTTATGCTCCTAGTGGCTCAGATGCCCGTAGATCGGCTTACTCCCTGTGGAGCCATCTGAGCAGGTGCTGTTGACAGGGTTAGAATATAGTGAACTGGCCGAAACCGGTTTGGCTCAGTGGATAGAGCGTCGGTCTGTGGACTGAAAGGTTCCAGGTTCGCTTCGGTCAAGGGCATGTACATTGGCTGCGGGCACATCCCCGGTAGAGGGTGTGCAGGAGGCAGCTGGTCGATGTTTCTCTCTCATCGGTGTTTCTAGCTCTCTATCCTTCTACCTTCCTGTCTGTGAAAAATCAATAAAATATATTAAAAAAAAAAAAAGAATATAGTGAACTTGTGTTGGGTTCTTCAATCTCTGTGTGTGTTTGACTTGTTACCTTAAGCTGTGCCTGTTTATAAAATTTAGATAGACATTCAAATATCTGTCCTTAGCTAATATGATAGTTAACATTTATGGTGTGCCTACAATTTGGATACAGTTTGGACAGCTGATGAGATTTGGGGCTAATACAATTTAAAAAAAAAAAATAAACATTTTTGAACTTGCTAGGAAATACTAATGAAGTATCTTTGTAAGAGCCAGTTTTTAATATAACTCTCACCCTCGCAGAAGCCAAGTACAAGAAGCTGGAGAAGCGATGACAAACTTATTCCTGTGGAACAAATCTTTTTTAATGTGGAAGAATGAGACCTGAATCCTGAGGCTGATGAATTGTCACAACTCCTCAAAAGGAAACCATGCTGGCCGTCTCAGAAATATCCGACCATTGGAGTAAACTGGAGAACTGTGGCTACTCCTGAATTTCTCTTGGGGCAGTATCCCTCAGGAACGCACACTTACTACCCCCTACCGTTTACTTGAATGCTTAATTATACATTTAGGACACCAAGTCTCTCAAAGTTCAGGATAAACCTGGGCTTTTCAGTTGAATCAAATGAGAGGGCTTAAGTGACTGGATTTTGAGTTACTGTGTAAATGGTTGTTTGTTTTTTATTGAGCTAATGTATTGCTAATAAGAATCTAAATTAAAAAAGGAAAATAAAACTTCTTCACAGTTTCTCATCTTGTGTCGGTATCTTATTTTTCTGTTAAAGTAAAAATAATAAATAATAAAAAGTCTTAAAATAATTTCAGGCCGAGCCTTTTATTTTATTTATTTATTTATTTATTTTTTAATATATTTTATTGATTTTGAACAGAGAAGAAGGGAGAGAGATAGAGAGTTAGAAACATCGATGAGAGAGAGTCATCGATCAGCTGCCTCTTGCACACCCCCTACTGGGGATATGCCCGCAACCAAGGTACATGCCCTTGACCTGAATCGAACCCGGGACCCTTCAGTCCCCAAGCCGACGCTCTATCCATTGAGCCAAACCGGTCTAATTTCAGGCCGAGCCTTTTAGACTGGGCCGAAACAGTGAAAGGAGTGTTGTGATAGTTTGGTGTATGTGATGGGCCTCTCCAGTCTCTTCTTTGTGTGAATCAGATGTCTCAGGATGGATAACATCTTGACATGTATTCCCCGTTGGAAATGTGATAAAGACAAAGGCAGAATGTGTATGTGTATGTATGTATGAGGTAGGGGTGGGGCAGGTGGAGCTGCCGCTCATAAAATAAAGCATTTTATAAAATATCTTCCTACTTGTGTTTGCAGGATGAGGGGGGCTCCTGAGGATCCGATCATCTTGCTCCCAGACTAAGGACATCAGTAGGTGGAGAATACTGACTGACTAGGATCCTTTAGAAGACAGGCAATCTTATCCATAGTTGTATGTTAGCAGCTAAAAAGGTGGCTGAGGTCCCCAATTCCATCTCTAAAAACAGTTCTTAACTTTGTTTCCATCATTTTCCACTATCTGTGGTCCAGACCACCACTGTTTATACTTTGTTCCTCTGGACTATTTCTTTTATTCTGCTCTAATCTTAGTTATTCCCTGCCTTCTAACTGCAGGCTTAGTTTACTCTTTTTCTAGTTCCTTGAGGTGTAATGTTAGGTTGTTTATTTGAGATAGTGTCTCTTAATAAAGACATTTATAGCTATAAACTTTCCTCTTAGAACTGCTTTTGCTACATCCATAAATTTCAGTATGTGGTTGTTTCCTTTTCATTTGTCTCAAGACATTCCTTTATATTTTGATTTCTTTTTTGGTCCATTGGTTGTTGAGTGTGTTGCTTAATTTCCACCCATTCATCAATTTTCTAGTTTTCCTCCTGTTATTGAATTCTAGGTTCACACCTTTGTGGTTGGAAAAGATACTTGATATAAATTCTGTCGTCTTGAATTTGTTGAGACTTGGTTTGTGGTCTAGCCTATTCTGGAGAATGTTCAAGTGCACTTGGGAAAAATGTGTATTCTAAAGCCAAACATGGCATGTGGACAAGGCTCCTGTTTTTATTTTCCTTTTTTTTAAATTTCATTTTTTGTTACATTTGCATTGTGTTTAATTGTCTTGATCTACCTTAATTCCCATGGATGAGTTTTCTTTTCATAAACTTTCTACTTTAGAATAGTTTTAGATTTGTAAAATTGTTTTGAAGATAATGCAGAATTCCGTGGATGAGTGTTCATTTCTTACTGTTGTTTCCTCTTTTTGAAATTATTATCCGTCCATGTTCTACTCTTCTTCAAATTTCAGTCTTGATCTCCAGTGCTGGGCTGTGCTGCATTACCCCAAAGAGGAAAATCACATGCTTAGTTTGCCAGCGAAGCTGGGGCATCAATATTTATGAGGCAGGGAACTTGATATCGCCCCCAAAAGCACTGCAGAAGTTGTGAGGAAAACCAGAACTTTGTGGTTCTTCCTTAAACTTATTTTACATGTTAGTTAATTTTGAATTGTTTGGCTGTCCTTGATGAGTTTTCCATGTCCTTCAATTGTTAGGAACTCTGACCTTTGTTTCCACTTCTTTAAACATTGCCATCTCCTGCTAACTGGCCTGAACTCTCCAAAAAGCTAATGTCATAAAAAACAAAACCAAAAAGGTAGGTGGGTTATGGGAGATTAAAGGAGACAAGAGATGGAATTGAATGTGAATGTGAAACTTGATTGGATCCTGACTGAAAACAAATAAAGGTATGAAATAAATGGGGTGGGGTAGGAGAGAGAGAGAGAGGGGGGGGGAGAGAGAGAGAGAGAGAGAGAGAGAGAGAGAGAGAGAGAGAGAGAGAGAGAGAGACATAAATGAAGAACTTTAAATATGGACGTGCTAGGTGATATTGAGTTAATGTTAATTTTCTTAGGTGTTAATGATGTTATAGTTATGTAGGAGGATGGTCCTTGGGAAATGCACGCAGAGGCATTCTTGATGTCTGGAATTATTTTCAGATGAGTCAATGAGAATAAAAGTGATTGTGCACCTTAAAGGCGATGGCCATTCTTTTAATTTTTCAAAAGGTTCAAAACCTATGAAAAGTGGGTCTGAAGGGAGCATCTTGCTCTCCAGCGTGATATGGTTAGGTTAGCATAGGTTAGGGTCCAACATTGTGCTGGGAACTTTCTAGCAGCTCAGACACTTACTCCAGTTGCCCGGAAATACAAAATCATAATGGGATTTTTAAATGCTATTTCCCCTTTCTCCTTAACTCAATTTCTTCTTGAGGCGAATGTAGCTGCCAGAGGCTTCTGTCCCTCGGCGCTCTCCGTAGACAGGAGAACCCTCATTGGCTGGGACGCGCTGACGTCTTATTGTGCTGCCAGCGCGTTTTCCGGAGGAGTGCGGTGCGGGTCCTGAGCGGTGGTGGTGGCCCCAACCCGGGCTTTTGGGACCGATGGCCCAGAAACCGCTGCGCCTGTGAGTGACCCTGGATCGGAAGCCCCTGTGCGTGCGTGCGTGTGTGCGTGTGTGTGTGTGTGTGTGTGTGTGTGTATGTGTGGGCGCACGTGGCTGCCTGCGGCGGTGGGGTGTGTGTGTGTGTGTGTGTGTGTGTGTGTGTGTGTGGGCGCACGTGGCTGCCTGCGGCGGTGGGGTGGGCTCTCCGGGCGGGAAGGGAAGACCTAGAGGCGGGGATGGGAGCTCCTGTCACATCTTTCCCCGGCGGTTTCGCTTCCAGGCGGGCACCGTTGGCGGTAGTCGTCGAGGGAAGCTCCGTGGGGCCTCTTCCTGGTTAGGCCACTCTGGCCTCTGACGCCTCATTTACACCCCTGTTCTCCCGCACGCCGTTCACAAGCCAGAGTTTCTAGGTGTGCGGCCGGCTGAGGGGCCCTGGGCGGAGGTGGTGGACGCGTAGGTCCTCTGTCCTGGCTCGCTCTCTGAGGCAGGTGGAGAGGGCCGGAGGCTGGGACCGTAAAGAGAGGACTCCCATTCATCCGCCCATTCAACCCGTATTTACTGAACAATTGCAGTGTGCCAGGCACTGCACTAGGACAGATGGAGTGACTGCCTTAGTGGAACTTACAGTGAAGAGAAACAGACTGGCAGTAATAATCAGTGAGTCCAGATCCATGCAAAGTTACGGTAGTGGAAAATGTCAGGAAGAAAAGATTCTCACAGTCCCGGGAGGGTGTATAATAGGAATATTTGGTTTCATATGAGGGATAGGAGAAGTGTGGATTGAGCCTTAACATTTTTGTCTTTATCCTAAGGAAGGAAGTCATTGAAATGTTTAAGAACAACTGAGCATGATCAAAATTTTCATTTTGGAAAGTGATTCTAGTTTAAGGTGACCAGACGTCCCGGTTTTGGCGGGACAGTCCCGACTTTTAACAATTTGTCCCGCGGCGCTTTTAAAAAGTCCCGATTTTTGGAAAGAATCTTTTCAATCTTTTGGACTTTTTCAAAACGCCACGGGACGCGGGACAAATTGTTAAAAATCGGGACGTCTGGTCACCTTATTCTAATTGCTATGTGGAGAACAAATTAGAGCCGAAAGAGGGGACAGCAGCTAGGATTAGATGGAGCGACGTCAGCAGAAAAGTGCAGGGATGCATGGCCCATTGAGGAGATGCAATAACCGGGTTTGAGATGCTTTGGTTGTAAGAAGGAGCCAGCACTGTTGGGGCCCTACATTTTTTTCTTTCTTCAGTGGGCTAGGAGACGCTGGAAACGGGCTCACACGAGGAGATGATGAATTTTGAGGTGTTCTATGATGTATAAACTGAACCGTGGCTCTCCCAGAAATAATTATAATCCCATGTGACTGTTACTGTGATAGAGGAAGTGGGAGCACCAAGAACTGGTACCTGATAGGGACCAGAGGGCTCCCTAGAAGAGGTGTTGCCCAGAAGGTAAAAATGCTTAGTAGGTGATTACAGAGCTTGCTTTGGGTTTCTGAAGTTTGGAGAGGGACTTTCTGATCTGGTCAGGAAGACTTCAGAGATGTGCCAGGATTTGAAGCATGAGAAAAATTTAGACTCAGGCTGGGTAGGCTGGGACTCATAGAACTAACCATCCCAGGGAATGGCAGAGGGAGAGAGTGATCAGATTGACAGTAGGGAAGGTTTCAGTTAGGGAAACTTGTAGTCTCCCCCCTTTTTTTATTTCTCACCCGAGGAGACATTTCCATAGCAATTTAGAGAAAGATAGAAACATCTGTGTGAGAGATAAACATCAATCGGTTGCCTTTTACACACATCCCGACCCAGGATTGAACCCACAACCTGGGTATGAGCCCTGACTGGGAATCGAACCTTCTACCTTTTGG